ATTTGACTTCGTTTTACATGAAAATTGTCCATTAAAATTAATTTTTTTTACAATTGGTTATGAAATTTATTTCCATTGCAAATAAGAAAAAAAAGGGTCAGAAATGAATTCCCTTAAAATAGAGAAAATGGGCGTGTGGGTGGAGGGTGGGAAAATATTTTCCTTGCCAAATTTTACCAATCAAATATGTATTTAACATGGAAATGGAAAATGTTTTCCATTTTTCAAGGAAAATATAGGCTATCAAACATAGCCTTAGTGTCTATTTCGTTCGAAAAAATACCGTTGACATTTGGTTCAACCGAGAAGATTGATATAGTACAATAGCAAATTTGAAAGAAACATTGTTTCTTGAGAAACTTGTGTCCAATAATCCCATCGATACCCGCTCATGAGGCGAAAATCATTTTAAGGAAATTTACAACTTACCTCGCTTAATCATCCTTCTATTTTTTCTATGAATTATTAATTTTGACAACAAAGAGTAGTATTTATTTATTGTAAACACAAGTGTACGAACATATGGGAAACCACATTCCGCGTTTTTAGAGAGATCATTGGGCGGGGTACTAAACAAATGAATAGTGCTACTTGTACATAAAGAGTTACATAATAAATTATATACAGGTGAGTTGTCAAAAAAATTGTGAGAAATTTTTTTTATTGAAAAATTCTAATCCAATCATATATCACCACACCATACATATGTAAGTCATTATGTATGTAGCATAACCTCTAAACCAATAGAAGGTCAGCTGGGCAAAGGGAAATTGAGATGGGATGACAATGTATAGCTAAGATTGATTGGGTTGCAAAGAGTGGTCGGAGAGGACATTAAACGATGAATTATACTACTTGTACATAATTTTATGTATATAATTGTGCTTATACCCTTACATGGAGGGTACACACTTCAGATAAAATATAATATATTCGAAATGGGTCCTCCTCCATGTGAGGGTGAGGACATCATTATATATATAGAATTATATACGTGTAGGCAAACCCCTTGAACTATTATGAAAGCTTGGGTGGTGACTGGTGACTACATTTGTGGATTGTGTTTGTGGGATGACTAAGGAGTGTTAGAGAACGATTTACATATTTAGCCCAAATTCATTCTTTAAAATTTATTGTTTTTGAAAATCATGTCAACCACACATTCTCTCAATAAAAGTCATCGTTTCATTTCGAATTTTGAAAATTCATGTTTTTTAAACTCATTTTTCAATCATATATTTAATGGACCTATAACTTTTATTAACTTTTTAACCAGACATCCTATTGACTTTTATTAAAATCTACTGATAATTTGATTTTTATCCAAACCAAACATGGACAATAATTTTGCACGTATAACCCAATAATTTACCTACTTTTTAACTATAAATTCTCTTACAAAAAGATTTTTTTATATATAAAATCTATTCTGAAAATGGAGTTCAAATAACTATAAATTCTCCAAAAAATATTTTTTTATAAAATCTATTCTAAAAAATGGAGTTCAAATAGGGCTTAGTGAAAACTTTTCCTTCTCTACTACATTTTTTCTAGGATGCCAATTTGATTAATGGAATCGAAATATAATAAGATTATCTTCAAGATACTTTCTGAATACAAGATATTATATATTTTAGATAATCAATACGTACAAATAAAATTCAAAAGACTCCCCATTTTAATTTTTAAATTTTGTCCCCTGTTTGGTACACATTAAAATTCAGATTTTAATTTAAGTTGAAATCAACAACTAATTTTTATCATACATTTTATGAGATCCACAAATTTTTAACCACGCATTTCATCAACTTTTATCAAAATCTTCTAAAAATCTAATTTTTAATATCCACCAAACAAGGACTTGGAGTGTATTTGACACTTTAAGCCCCTGCTTGATGCACATTTTGGGGGCAATAATGCATTTTTTTTGTTGATTTGATATGAAATATATGATTAAAAAAGAAGAAAAAATTATTGATATGATGTAAAATATTATTTTATTAAAAAATGTATGGTTGAAAATGAGTAAATGAATGAAAATGAAAAAAATAATATGACTCAAATAAGGGATAAATTTGAATAGCCAAATCCACTCTATTCTTACATTGGAAGTGAGACTACTTTTTTGACAATTGAAACCAATAAGAACAATACGACGAGTAATTCAAAATTTTCCGTGAAGTTGGAAAATGTGATCATTTTTCACTTTTCCCCATGAGCTTCCTTGGATAAAAAATTCAAAATAATTTTATCACGGACGAAGTTACGAACCTAAAATTTTTAAAATTGTTAAAAAGTCGTGATCGAAGTTAGGTCTCGTTTGTCTGCCATTATTTCAAAATATTGTTTGTTATAATAAGATTCCCCACCACATATTCACCAAATAAAATATTTTACACACAAACCACTATAAGTTACTTTAAATTTCAACCGCACTCTAAAAAAAATACTATTTATTACTCAATTTTTTCTACAATAATAGGAGACAAACACACACTTAATAACTAATTTTAATTGCACAATAAAAGATTCACATTTTTTTTTTATCAATTTTTTAAACACGCGTTTCTTCAATTTTTATCAAATTATCAAAATAACTTTTACAAAAAATTAAATACATTAAAAACTAACATTCCACCAGCAGTAACTAACAACATTATCAACTTTTTGACAAAAAAGTTAGGAAAATCAATCGTGCCTAGCGTCAGGGCCGGCCCTGAGGCGAGGCAAATAGTGCCTGCTTCAATGCTTGGATAAATTTTAAAAATTGTTAAAAAGTCGTGATCGAAGTTAGGTCTCGTTTGTCTGCATAATTTCAAAACATTGTTTGCTATAATAAGATTCCCCACCACATATTCACTAAATAAAATATTTTACACACAAACCACTATAAGTTACTTTAAATTTCAACCGCACTCTCGAAAAAATACTATTTATTACTTAATTTCTTCTACAATAATAGGAGACAAACACACACTTAATAACTAATTTTAATTGCACAATGAAAGATTCACATTTTTTTTTTATCAATTTTTCAAACACGCGTTTCTTCAATTTTTATCAAATTATCAAAATAACTTTTACAAAAAATTAAACACATTAAAAACTAAACTATGTTTCAATTGGCTATTTAACATTCCACCAGCAGTAACTAACAACATTATCAACTTTTTGACAAAAAGTTAGGAAAATCAATCGTGCCTAGCGTACGGTGTTGTATGACGTATTATCATTGGACAGTTTGAATAACAACTTTTTTGTTTCACCAACAATTTTTTGTCAACTTATACATTGTCAATAATATTTTCATCCACCATTGTACAAATGACAAGAAAAATTGCACCAATAATCTCTAATGACTCTGGTAACAATTTGACTTTCAACAAGTTATCGATAAGGTTGTTCTTATTCACATTTCCAGTCCCAAGTCCGAGTGGATAAAAAACTTCCACTCCGCAATTAAGCTTGTGTCTGAATCTAATTTTGAGGAGAATAGAAATTTTGGAATAGTGATCGATGTGAGAATGTGTGGTGAAAAAATGATGAAATTTTTTTGATTTATGTGTAATATAACAAATTTAAAAAATTTAAAAGTAAATCAAACATAAAAAATAAACAAGAGAAACGGAAGATTAAAAAAGAAAAAAAGATAGAGCAGGGATCGAGGCTAAAATTGCAATTTTCTTAAAATAAATAAATA